AGTTTGGCTAATCTGCTCTCTTCTCTGTTCTTGTTACTCCTTTGTTATCGGTATGTTTACCAAGATTTATGCTTATCTTTTTTTGCTTCTGTTGTTGAATAAAGCTTTGTCTTTGCCGTTTCCACCTCTTCCGAGCAAGAAATTCTCCTCTGCCTCCTGGCAGTTTCTTAATTGGTACTCTCACTAATTTTCCTTCGTATTCTCTTACCTGTATTCTGCATTCAGAAATTTTCTCGTTCTGTCTAGGTTCTCTCCTCTATGTGTTATCCATCTTACACGTGTCATCCCCCTTGTTATTCTTTCCTTTACATTTACTTCCAAAACGATTTTGGCGTTGAAGACTACATGGTCGCTTAAGCCTTGAAGATTTTCATATTGTTTCGATGTACCTACAGAAAATTCTAGGTCCAGTTCTGCTGCCTCACCTTCTATCTTTCTCTTTCTTTGTCAAGGTTGGGAACCAAAGCAATCATAGTACTAGGGGGAGAGAGCACAACTTTGTAGTACCCACAGTCATTGGACAGGCTTCAAACACCTTTTATTGTACAGCAATAAAGGAATGGAACAGACTGCCCGCACATGTCAAAGCCAGTCATAGCATGAACCAGTTCAAGAAGAGTGCCAAAAGGTGTCTGATGAATGTAGCTACAGAAAGGGAGGGAAATGATTTTCTATTTTTTAGATAACATACGTGTAAATTTTACCTTATTCCTAGTAATGACCCTCGTATTGTAGATAGTCTTAATGACCCTCGTGTAGTAGATAGTCTTAATGACCCTCGTGTAGTAGATAGTATTTTTAGTATGATAATAAGATGTTATCTTCATTGTAGAATAATAAGAAAATATTATAACCTTTATATTATAATAATAAGGTAAAAGGACCCCAATGGAAATAAGTCACTCTGTCTGACTTTTTTGGGTTATCCCAGGTTCTCTACACATATGCTGCTATGTATGATAATTCTATGTAACTGTATTTGTGTATACCTGAATAAACTTACTTACTTACTAATTCCTTCTCTCTCTCTCTCTCTCTCTCTCTCTCTCTCTCTCTCTCTCTCTCTCTCTCTCTCTCTCTCTCTCTCTCTCTCTCTCTCTCTCTCTCTCTCCTAGGTTTCTTTGTTTCCAGTCCTGTATGTGGACCTCATTTCTTCAGATCTGCTTCCTTAAGTGTACATAAGCTACTTTAATCTATTTTTTTGTGTGTTCTACATTTACTGTCTCGGTCTCCTACTGTTAGATGGTGGGTTGTATATTTCTGCAATTACTACTTTGGTTCCCCCGGTCTTAAATGAGCACATTATGAAGCCTTTTTCTTGAAATCTATTTATCGTGCTTGATTCTTCAAAGCAGTGTCTCTCCTCCTCCTCACGTATCACTTGTCAGTTTTTGTATCTGTGATGGCTGTAATGTCTGATGACTGTAATGTCGGCTATTTAGTCTTCAAACTCATCATTCATGTGTAATAATCTTTCTCTGTATGGCAACCTCACTCTGAGCTTTCTTTTACCATACACTGGTTTGTGTTGTCTAATCTCTCAGCGTGTTGATAAACTGACAAGACTGGGAGAGGTAGAGCTGGGATTTGTACGAACATCACTACAGTGCAGAGGTTAAGGATGAGGTTTTAAATAGAGAACATGAAGGGGAAGGGGTTTAGGGATGAAGAGTGAAGAGTTGGCGTTAGTGCTGCTGCTGGGAAAAGTATGGACAGGTCTTGAGTTAGGCTCACTAAGTGGATGAGGTTCATTGAGGGAGGGTCTTCCTCCTGGCTTCTTGCCTGTCAGAATTTTATTTACATCCACGGCTCTTCCCTCTATGTTACTGACCAGTCCGAGTTTTCTTCAAGCTCATTTTCGGGAAAATAATACAGTTCTGAGATAAATGTGATCCTCTGAAAATTGCTTTCTTTCCAATCTCTTCCTTTCTTATACTATCGACGACCAGTAGGATTTTAAATAGCTCTTTGTCGCCTCTGTTTTTATGGACCTCACTCAACCTCCTGTAGTTCATAGATAACCGGCGATTTCCTTCTTTCTTCCACTCATTGCCTTTCCCCGCAGACTTCTTTGTTTGCCTCCATTTCTCTTGCTGTCTTTCTATTCACCTCCTTAAACACTTTACATTCTTTGCCGTTTCTGGATCCCTTTGCTACTACGTCCTTCATTATTTTTGCCCCTGTTATCCTTACCCCCATTTCTTCCATTGTCTCCCTCAGTTCTTTCTCCTCTTTCATCTTAAAGCTTTGGGAATAAATTCTTCTGCCATATTATCCCTATTTACAGGTTCTGCAACCTCTTTCGTTTGTCTGGTGAATACTGATTGCCACAATCCCCTACTGAAATGGAACCGAACTTATCTTCAAGCTTCTTCTTGGCTCTGTCGTTTTGCTGTCTGCTATTTGGTTCACTCTCTTGGCAGCGTGAACCAAAGTGCAGTAGTAGAAACAATCTGTTTCTACTACTGCACTGCGCACTTTTTCTTTCCTGACTACTATGAAGTTAAAAAAAAAGTATTTTCTGACACATATGATGTGTTTAGCTTCCAGCTTTGTATGCCTTGAGTGTTTCTAAAGCTGACTCTGTCCTCCATATCAGCTCCTCTCAGCATCTTCAGTGGGATAGTCATTTCATTCCTGTTCCTAGTTTATTCAAGTTTAACTCTA